GTAAGTAATCTTCCCAAGAAGTCAACTTTCCTTTCAAAACAGCCCTCAATATGTTCCCTAAAGTTCTTTTAGAAAAGATTTTGGAACCATACAGTTGGTCCAACATGTCATCAAGACGAGGGATAGGATGGCGATACTTTACCGTTATCTTGTTGATGGCTCGACAATCTACACACATCCTCCATGTTCCATCCTTTTTGGGGACTAATATGACTGGAACAGAGCATGGGCTCATACTCTCTCGAACAAATCCCTTTTCAAGCAATTCTTCAACTTGCCTTTGTAATTCTTTGGTCTCTTCAGGATTGCTCCTATAGGCAGGCCTATTAGGAAGTTGAGACCCAGGCACAAAGTCTATTTGGTGCTCAATCCCTCTCAAAGGTGGCAATCCCTTTGGAGTGTCATCAGGAAAAACATCTTCAAAATTCTGCAAAAGAGAAGAAACACTATTTGGCAAAGAAGGAGTTAGTTGTTCAAAATTAATCAATACTTCTTTGTAAGTAAGTAGTATTATGGGCAGTCCCTCTCTCCTAGCATTCAAACACTCTTTGGCTTTTATATAAAGGCTCTCATTTTTCTTTTCCTTAGCCGTTTTCCTCTCACCAAAACATTTTATTTTTTTACTCACACCCTCTTTTACCTCTTTACTTAGATCGCTGCCCTCTCTCTCTTTCTCTCGGCCATCTCTCTTTTTTTCTATCTCTTGGCCTTTTTGTTTTCCCTCAAGCTCACTTTTTACCTCTCCCTTTTGTTTTCCCATTGTTTCCCTCAATCGTTTTTGATCTTCAAACACTTGAGAAGGAGATAATGGTGCAAGAGTATACTTCTTACCATTATGCAGAAGACTATACCTATTCTTTCTCCCATGATGAGTAGTATCCCTATCATACTGCCAAGGTCGGCCAAGTAAAACATGACATGCTTGCATTGGAACTACATCACAAAGAATTTCATCTTCATACCTACCAACATTGAATGAAATCATGCATTGTTTGTTTACTTTTACTTCTCCACAATCATTCAACCATTGGAGCCTATATGGGGTAGGGCGCTTCATGCATGCAATTCCTAGTTTATCCACCAAGTATGAACTCACCACGTTTGCACAACTTCCCCCATCAATAATCATAGAATAAGTCTTCCCTTTTATCCCACACCTAGTATGAAACAAATTCTCTCTCTGCCCTTCATCAACACTACCCAAATTGATAGTCATAATTCTCCTAACCACCCCAATTATACCATCATTAGGCAATTCCAAATCATCTTCCTCACTTACACCTTCTCTCTCTTCTTCTTCCCCCTCACTTTTTTCACTCTCATATTCTCCATTCTCTCTAAGTAGGATGTTTCTTCTACTTGGACATTCATGCATCATATGCCCCCTTCCATGACATTTGTGACATTGAATAGAACTTGAAGGTTTAGAAGATTTAGGATTAAAGGTTTTACCTCCCTCCTCAACTTTACCTTTACCTCTATCATCTTGAGGTTTGGAAGGAGCTTTCCCCTCTTGAGTTGACCATGGCTTCTTAGAGATAGTGTTTGGTCGACTTCTCCATGAGTTATTTTGCTGCTTTTTCTCAATTTGTTTTTCAACTTTTACAGACAAATCAACTAACTCATCTAAAGTTACATATTGTTGTATCTCTACTACATTAGCTATTTCTGTATTTAAACCATTTAAAAATCTAGCTATTGTAGCCTCTTCTTCCTCCATGCAGTTAGCTTGGATCATAGCCATATCCATGCTTTTGAAGTACTCATCCACCGACATGGAGCCTTGCTTCAAGCGTTGAAGGCGAGATTGTAGATCTCTTTGGAAGTATGATGGAATAAATCGCTTTCTCATTACCCTCTTCATCTCTGCCCACGTAGCAATAGGTGGTAGCTCCTCTTGCAATCTGTCCCTAGCAAGCTTTTTCCACCAAGAAGCAGCATAATCAGAAAACTCAACAACAGCAAGTTTAACTTTCTTACCCTCAGAGTAGTTATGGCAATCAAAGATGGCTTCAACTCGTCTCTCCCAATCAAGGTATAAGTCTGGATCCCTTGTCCCCTTGAAAGCTGGCATATCTGGATCCCTTGTCCCCTTGAAAGATGGCATCTTCATCTTTATACTATTTATATTATCGTTTTCTACTCTACCTCTTTGTCCCCTCCTATCTCTTCTTTCTAGATTAAATTCAACATCAAAATCATCATTATCATATTCAGGATTTACAAAAGGGATATGGGGTACATTCCTTCTAACTTGGGGTCTAACATTATTTGGGGGTACAACATTATTCTCCCTCCTAATTGCAGCTATGGTGTCATTCTGCTCGATAATCATATCCCTCATCTCTTGAAATTGAAGGGTCCATCTCTCAAATTGTTGGTGCATAGCTTGAAGGGTGAAGTCGTTCCTTCCTTTGACCTCGGCTTCTAAACGAGCCCTTTCCTCATCACCACCTGAATTAGACATCTAAAAAAAAAAAAAAAAGATCAAGTATCACACTTTTAATATGGCTTTTACCCTCTTTTTAACTCACCCACACTTGCCTTTTTCCACTCAAAATAACCTTTGAACGAGAATACTTTGTAGATTTATAATTAAACCAATACGTGTATCAAGTTCGTAGTAATAAAGTATGGAATCTTGGGGTACAAAAGAAAGTAAAGAACTAGTCCTAGAACAAGTAGGATTTAGTTGAAACAAAACACGAATAAAAAGGAACTTATTTTAGAATTATAAGAACAATAAAAAAAATTCCTCTTATTCTTAAAGATCTACAATCCCCTCTTCTTGCTACCTTGTTGCTTGGAAAGAAATTAATGCAAAACTTGGAGAGCAAGTAATAAGATTTCTTGAATAGCAACTAATAAGCTTTCTTGGGTATCAAGTAATCAACTTTCTTGGAGGACAAGTAATCAGATTTCTTAGAGAGCAAGTTATAACTTTTTTTTGTTCACGCTACGGTTCACGCTATAGTATTTTTTTTGTTTTTTTTTGTTCACGCTACTGTTCACGCTACAATATTTTATTAATTTATTTTTTGCTCTAATATAAGAAGAAATCCCAAGATTTATCAAGAACGGAATCTTGATAAAACAGCTCTGATACCACTTTATAACAGCAAGGTTAAGGAGATCACAATTAGAGAATTGAATATTAGAATGCGGAAGCACAAAAGAAAAGAAACAAAAAAACCTAACTAAAGATATGGGAAATTCAAAGGAAAGATCCAAGAATTTCCAAGGATTAGATGTTCTAAGGCCTTGAAAAGATCCAAGTAACAACATATAGATTTATGGAAGAAATCTAACGCCTTTACTTGAGAAAACGAATCAAAACGATAGATTTGGATCTTGACCTCTTTATGAGTAAATAAAGACAATAATTAGTATCTAGAAACTAATCACCTTCTAAAGAATACCAAAAAGAAACCAAAGATATCACAAGAAGAAATTACTTTATACCTTAAACTATGAAACTAGTAAAGGTTTAAAGATAAATTCTCAAAGAACAAGTCACAAAGGTTCAAAGAACTCTCTTAAATATTATTAATATCAATCTTAATTGTCTTTAATGAATGAAAAGGACTCCTATATATAGGAGAAGGGAAAAACGTCCAAGAAGCCAAACCCTAAAAAAAACAATTACAAGGAATCCTACTCTAGAAAGGAAATAAAGTAACCTAACTAGGAACAAATTTAGTACTTCTAGGAAAGCATTAAATGGTACTTAGGAGACCATAAATAGACTAAGGAAAATATTAATAACCTATATATAAATAAATAACTAAGGTAAATCCCAACTAGGAAAAGAATCTTGACAATCTTGGAAAGTTTGACTAGTCTTCTCTCAAAACTTGGGCAGAAAGCAACTCTTGTTGTGGCTGATTCTTGGACTCTTCTTGACCTTATTTGCACGAAATTGGACCTTAAAATTCCTCATCTTGGGCTTGAATTTGGGCCACCAAATAATTGTAGCATTTGGACAATTTCTCTCCCTTGGGCTTGAGCTCTTCTTCCCCAATAAGACACCTTTGGATCAGCGATGGAAGCCCATTGAGCTTATCATTGAACTCCTTGGTTTGAGATCTTGTTATGGGCCTCCTTGGAGTTTTTAAAGCTTCATCCTTGTCCTTAAATGTAGTAGAGCTTACATGGATGCTATCAATGGAGCAGGTCCGCGACGCGGAGCCACTCCCTCCAATAACAACTTCAAGCTGCATTGGAAGTTTGCTTGGCCAAGGGTTGGGGTCCTCCTCGGGGGACCCTTAGGGTGGTATCGGGGAGTCGTACCCGAACGTTTTGACCCTAAAGAACATTTATTAACACACTAGGGTCACCTCCACTGATTTTAGACTCCAAACAACCCATAAAAAACATGAACAACATACTAGAACACACCAACACGTAAAAGACTAGTTTCCGAACGTCTTGGGCGTCCCTTGACGTTTGACTTCCAAACTCTTTAAAACTGACTAAAAATGCTATTCTTCATTATTTTAACAAGTTATTAATGCATAGGACCCATGTGAGGCTCTACTTTATCCTACTTCATTTTGAGAGGTGTTACAATATACCCCACTTGGGAATATTCGTCCTCGAATGACACTTTAAAACATTAAGGGTAATGACTCAAGACTAGCAGCCCACAACAATCATACAATATCAATATGAAAGCACTCATCAAGGAGGAAACATCAACTCCACATAACAAGCCATTACAACACAACTTCATTCAAATTTATGGAAGTAGGAATCACACCTACAACTCAACATGCCTCTAACACTTTTTTTTTTTCCATTTCTCATTCATTTGGAGGAACTTCCTTCTCCATAGCACCTCATGCTCATAACAACATCAAAGAACACAATATGCAATTATCTTATTAAAACACAATCATGCTACATCAAGAATACACATAAGTATGCTCAACTAATCAACTCTAACAACTTTTAGCAACTTCCTAATTTATGCATATAAGGAGAACAACTATCATGAAACTGATTTTCTCATTTAAATCAAGAACTCAATTTAAAGCATGCATCATTATAAGGATAAATATAGAAACTCATTTTTTTCACACAAGACTCCAAAAACCATGCATCATGCTTCTACAATTCTATGACTCAAACTCGATTAGGAATAGAAGAAGGAAAAAGAATATCCAAACTCACCTCAACTCATCATTCAACATACCATCCCCCACATAGGAGAAAACCCATCTAAACCATAACAAAACTAGAAATTATGACTTACCGGCACCTTCATCCGCATTTGCTTCCTTGTTAGCTTGGAGAGCATAGAAATGATTCATTGCTTGACCATCAACACTAGGACCACTTTACGGAGCTTGCCGAGCATTCATTCCTTTAGCCACAATATTAGGACAATCTCTCACCTTGTGATCATTTTTCCCACAACCTAACCACTAGAGCCGAATATACACTTCCTAAAATGCTTCTTTCCACAAGTGGAACAAGTAGGCTTAGCAATTTGAGAACCACCACCTCCTTCATGGTTAACCTTAGGAGTACTTGATAAATCTTGATTTAGAGCCCTCTTCTTAAACCTAGGTTGTCCTTGATCCTCATACCTACACCTTTTTAAATCTTTCCTAACCCTAGTCATCTTGGACTCCTTAATAGATTGCTCATACACAACAAGCCTTGAGATGTTCATGTCACCAATGAGCATTGGCATACGACACTCTTCTTTCACCAAGTCGGATACACCGGTGATAAACTTACTCATCTCCTCTCAAGAGATAGGCACCAAACATGGAGCATACCTAGACAACATAGAGAACTTCCAAGAATACTCCTCCACACTCATATTACCTTTCCTAAGATTAATGAACTCCTCAATTTTGCACTCCCTCTTCTCTAGGGGAATGTACTTACCCAAGAATGCTTCCTTAAACTCCTCACATTCTATAGTTACCGCTTCTTCCGGCTTATTTGCCTTCCATTGAGTGTACCAAATTTGGGTCACCTCCTTCAATTGGGACAAGTCTAGCATATGAGCTACAACATCATCTTATAGAGACTCATCATAGTCCATTATCACCACATATCACCATTTCAAGAGAAACATGCTTTCACATTAGCATAATACCACTTTATACAATATCACATTAATACCATTAGAACATCTTCACATTATAGCTTCACACAAACTTTACATATAGCTTCATATAGGACTTTACATATAGCCTCATATGTGTATAATAATACAACAATGTAATAACACTCATATAATGCCCTTCGTGGCATCAATTCACAACAATGCATTATTCCCACATTATACAACAACTTCACCAATGCCTTCATGGTTACAATTCACAATAATACTACAAAAGAATAAGATATAACACTTCTGGATCCAACCTACCAACAACAATCAATTCAATAAAGAGAGTTCAAGCCTTCTTACCATAATCCAAAGCCATAGCCAAAATCACCAATACTGAACCCATAAGGTTTACCACCCTTAATTAATCCATTATCAATAATTAATCATAAATAAACATTAAACAACACAAGAGATATCAATACCATTCACTTTACACATAATTCCATCAACTTTGAATTTATAGAAATAGACCCACTTCATAGCAAATTTTAGGGTTTTGTAGAAGACAAGGGTTGATGGAGTATTTCATTCAAAAACCACACACACATCAATTAATCCATACCCAAACGTTTCAAATCATTTTCATGCAAGAACAATTGATAGAATTCAAAAAGAAGGTTTTAGTCACTTTTTGAAAACATTGTAAAATCCTTAGAAATTGACTTTAGGATTAAGATGAGTCCTAGATGAAGAGCCACCATACCTCAATTGATGAAATCTCAACGAAATTTGGTGGAAGGGAACCCTTAATTGAAACCCTAGCTCTCCACCTTCTTGTTCCTTGAACTTGAGAGAACTTAAGAGAGAGAAAGAACTTTGGGGTTTTGATTTTGGAAGAATGAATTCAAAAACTCCTCTTAAATGTTTTCATACCTTTAAAATACTTAGAAACACTTAAAAATAATAATAACCCAAACTACCCCTCACTTAGTTCGACCTTTTTAAACAAGTCCAAGTTGTGTTTTATTTTTGCAGATTTCGTCGGGAAACAAGTTCGCGTTGCGGAGGTGTTCCCACATGTTTACTGGAAATTAAATTCGAGACAGTAGAGTCTGCGGTGTCTCCGCGATGCGGGGCTACCTTTTGGCCATTGGTGGAGCAGGTCCGCGACGCGGAGCCACTCCCTCCAAGGGTTGGGGTCCTCCTCGGGGACCCTTAGGGTGGTCCCGGGGAGTCGTACCCAAACGTTTTGACCCTAAAAACATTTATTAAGACACTAGGGTCACCTCTACTGATTTTAGACTCCAAACAACCCAATAAAACATGAACAACATACTAGAACACACCTACACGTAAAAGACTAGTTTCCGAACGTCTTGGTCGTCCCTTGACGTTTGACTTCCAAACTCTTTAAAACTGACTAAAAAGGCTATTCTTCATTATTTTAACAAGTTATTAATGCATAGGACCCATGTGAGGCTCTACTTTATCTTCCTTTATTTTGAGGGGTGTTACAATATACCCCACTTGGGAACATTTGTCCTAGAATGACACTTTAAAACATTAAGGGTAATGACTCAAGACTAGCAGCCCACAACAATCATACAATATCAATATGAAAGCACTCATCAAGGAGGAAACATCAACTCCACATAACAAGCCATTACAACACAACTTCATTCAAATTTATGGAAGTAGGAATCCCACCTACAACTCAACATGAGTCTAACCCTTTTTTTTTTCTTCCATTTCTCATTTATTTGGAGGAACTTCCTTCTCCATAGCACCTCATGCTCATAACAACATCAAAGAACACAATATGCAATTATCTTATTAAAACACAATCATGCTACATCACGAATACACTTAAGCATACTCAACTAATCAAATCTAACAACTTTTAGCAACTCCCCAATCTATGCATATAAGGAGAACAACTATCATGAAACTGATTTTCTCATTTAAATCAAGAACTCATTTTAAATCATGCATCATTATAAGGAAAAATATAAAAAATCATTTTTTTCACACAAGACTCCAAAAACCATGCATCATGCTTCTACAATTTTATGACTCAAACTCGATTAGGAATAGAAGAAGGATAAAGAATATCCAAACTCACCTCAACTCATCATTCAACATACCATCCCCCACTTAGGAGAAAACCCATCTAAACCAACACAAAACTAGAAATTATGACTTACCGGCACCTTCATCCGGATTTGCTTCCTTGTTAGCTTGGAGAGCATAGAAACGATTCATTGCTTGACCATCAACACTAGGACCACTATAAGGAGCTTGCCTAGCATTCATTCCTTTAGCCACAATATTAGGACAATCTCTCACTTGTGATCATTTTTCCCACAACCTAACCACTAGTGCCGGATAGACACTTCCCAAAATGCTTCTTTCCACAAGTGGAACAGGTAGGCTTAGCAATTGGAGAACCACCACCTCCTTCTTGGTTAAACTTAGGAGTACTTGATAAATCTTGATTTAGAGCCCTATTCTTAAACCTAGGTTGTCCTTGATCCTCATACCTACCCCTTTTCAAATCTTTCCTAACCCTAGTCATCTTGGACTCCTTAATAGATTGCTCAGACACAACAAGCCTTGAGATGTTCATGTAATTATGGAGCATTGCCATACGGCACTCTACTTTCACCCAGTCGGATACACCGGTAAGAAACCTACTCATCTCCTCTCAAGAGTTAGGAACCAAAGATGGAACCTACCTAGACAACATAGTGAACTTCAAAGCATACTCCTCATTCAACATACCATCCCCCAGTTACGAGAAACCCATCTAAACCAACACAAAAGGATTCCAACACAAAACTAAAAATTATGACTCATCCGGATTTACTTGCTTGTTATCTTGGAGAGCATAGAAATGATTCCTTGCTTGACCATCAACACGAGGACCACTATAAGGATCTTCCCTAGCATTCCTTCCTTTAGCCACAATATTAGGACAATCTCTCACTTGTGATCATTTTTCCCACAACCTAACCACTAGTGCCGGATAGACACTTCCCAAAATGCTTCTTTCCACAAGTGGAACAAGTAGGCTTAGCAATTTGAGAACCACCACCTCCTTCATGGTTTACCTTAGGTGCACTTGATAAATCTTGATTTGGAGCCCTTTTCTTAAACCTAGGTTGTCCTTGAACCTCGTACGTACCCCTTTTCAAATCTTTCCTAACCCTATTTATCTTGGACTCCTTAATAGATTGCTCATACACAACAAGCCTTGAGATGTTCATGTCACCATAGAGCATTGCCGTACGGCAGTCTTCTTTCACAAAGTTGGATACACCAGTAACAAACCTACTCATCTACTCTCTATAGTTAGGCACCAAAGATGGAGCATACCTAGACAACATAGAGAACTTCTAACCATACTCCTCTACACTAATGTTACCTTGCCTAAGATTAATGATTTCCTCAATTTTGCAGTCCCATTTCTCTAGGGGAAACTACTTACCCCAGAATGCTTCCTTAAACTCCTCCCATTCTATAGTTACCGCTTCCTCCGGCCTATTTGCCTTCCATTGAGTGTACAAAATTTGGGCCACCTCCTTCAATTGGTACAAGTCTAGCATATGAGCTACAACATCATCTTATAGAGACTCATCATAGTCCATCGTCACCACATATCACCATTTCAAGAGAAACATGCTTTCACATTAGCATAATACCACTTTATACAATATCACATTAATACCATTAGAACAACTTCACATTATAGCTTCACACAAACTTTACATATAGCTTCATATAGGACTTTACATATAGCCTCATATGTGTATAATAATACAACAATGTAATAACACTCATATAATACCCTTCGTGGCCTCAATTCACAACAATGTAATTTTCTCACATTATACAACAACTTCACCAATTCTTTCATGGCTACAATTCACAATAATACCACACAAGAATAAGATATAACACTTTTGGATCCAACCTACCAACAACAATCAATTCAATAAAGAGAGTTCAAGCCTTCTTACCATAACCCAAAGCCATAGCCAAAATCACCAAAATCCAAGCAATCATCAATACTTCACCCATAAGGCTTACCACCCATAATTCATCCATTATCAACAATTAATCATAAATAAACATTAAACAACACAAGAGATATCAATACCATTCACTTTACACATAATTCCATCAACTTTGAATTTATAGAAAAAGACGCACTTCATAGCAAATTTTAGGGTTTTGTAAAAG